ACATATAATTAGGCCAAAGAAACATGAAGTTTTTACAATCAAGCAGGATAAGGTAGTACTTAGTCCTCACGATGACAAAAGAATAATACAGTTCAATTCTACTGACACTAGACCTTGGGGATATAATTTTACATAGAATACTATAATTCTTTTTAATTGCAGAAATGGTCACTATGAGCAATTCAGAATAACATATGCATGATCAGCTATGGCGAAATAGTGACCAAATTTATAAAATTTCTTTGAAACGTTCTTTGATGGGGAAGTCGTCCATTGAAGACTGTAACTTTATATTTGATATTTTACAGCATATCATTATTCCTGATGAGTGTTTCGAATTGTGCGCTGTGAACTTAAAATGTGAAAATGGAGTTATTATTAAGAGCTTATTTGATGAAAAAATTAAATTAGACAACATTATTAAGACTTTTATAACGCTTTGCAATAATAAAGAATGTGACTCTTTAGACTATAATGACGTAGATATAATCTTAGATGAAATGCATGTAATAGGTAACGTACCATTGAAAATGTATGTGTATGATTTGTTATGGAATGATCATTCGAAGTGTAAGTCAACAAAGGCTAGTTTAGAACATCTTAAGGCAACATACAAGGATATTTCATGTATTATAACAGAATGCATTGAAAAGGAAAAATCTGCATACTATGCCAACTATAAGTGTCTTGAAATTTGTATTAAAGTACTATTGGAAGAAAACATCTCCTTTACATTTCAACCGGACGAAAACGATAAACATCGTGGAATATATCGCTGGATTTTGGAAAATATTCATAAGGGTGAACAAAATCCTCACTCATGTTTGGGATGGTCATGCGGACCAGATTCAGGAGCATGGCCTTCGACTGATTTAAATAACTATAGGCGTACTTTAGGATTATTATACCAAATAATGAAATTTTAAATTTGTAACATTATTATTACTAATAATAAAACTATCTTTCTTTGTTTTTCTTCTTTTTTATTTCATGTAATTACCTACATTCCTTTACTTAGCACCAATTCTACTTAAGTATTTCATTTACAGCTTATTTAAATACAATAAATGCCTATGAGACAATATTATCTCTATCAATCCAAGATTTTTCATTTAAACCCAACCACTTTACGTACACCTTATTGTTCTTGCGTCTAAGGATCTTCTCGACCAAATATATGTCAGGATCTTTTGCCTTCTGTAATTCGGGCTCGTAGAATCCACCCAGAACCGGATTTCCTTTCATATCTTCAAGTAGATAAGTAACAGGATTTGTAATGCGAATTTTTGCAATTTTAAACAACTCGCAAGACCAGTTGGGAGTATACCCTTTTGCGAAGATGCTCTTGTATTTGCTGATGCGCACAACGTCACCCACTTTGAAGCGATGCGTTCTGTTAAAGAGTTTTATGTGAGTATAAGCGTTGAGATTTGTATCTGCATTCACTTCAATTGGCTTCATACCAATTGTTCGATGTCTATGATTGTTGTATTCACTTGTCACCATATCTAATACATCAATCCATTTATATTTTCCGCGCATACTAAACGTTTTGTATAAAGAATTTTTTATTGTTCTAATCACACGTTCGGCGATTGCAGCTTTCTTCGTACTGTATGTGGAATAATGATTGATTTTGTTTTGTTGCATCAATCTTTGGAAATGTTTATTGTAAAATTCTTTTCCAGCATCGGTTTGAAGGTTTTTCGGTACTCGACCTGCCTTAAAAATTGTTTCCATAGCTTTAGTTACTTCTTCGCCCGTTTTCGTTTTTAGCCCTTTGGTCCAAAGGTACTTCGAAAAACAGTCAATGACCACAAGTATATACCTATAGCCATTATTATGTTTAGCGTATTGGGTAAATTCTCCTAAATCTGCTTGCCAAAGGTCATCAAATCCCTTAATTACGGTTCTTCTTCTTGAAAAATTCTTCCTTGCTTGTCTATGTATCTCATTTACGACTTGTTGTTTGGACATTCGTTTTGTAGTTTAGTCAAGAGATCCTTGATTTCTCCTATTTTTCGTCCTAACGTGAGTATACTGATCTTGTAACTGTCCAATGATGTCTTAATATCTCGCGTGTACGTTTCAAGGAACTTCTTAGTTACTGCGTCATCATCCTCTACGGGATCAGCCACCCGTCTTAAACGATTGCCACCTTGATCGTACCTTGTGATGGAATAATATTTCAAATTAATTGCATTATGATCCTCGAGCGGGTCAGCTACGTTTGTCAATCTCCTATTTTCAATATTGAAATGATTGGCCTCGGTTAGTTTAAAGCCCGCCATTGTAATATGGGGCGAAGCTTTTTGGTAATCCCGTGAACGTCCAAATTTGTCAACAGTCATTTTTGTTATGCCAAGTGAAATTTAAGTTACCCACTATTTATACATAGTTTGCTAAACCTTTAAGGAAACGCTCGGTAGGTTTTTCAATGTAACCATCTTCGTGTAGCTCTTCGACAATTGATAATATCTCATTTTCTAATCCCGTATTCCCCGCCATCTTCTCGGCCCATAATACTTGTAAGTCTTGCATCAACTCATGCACATTATTCCAATATTTGTACTCAATCGGTCGATCAAGTTCCTTGAACAGTGTAACACCGCTTCCAGACCTCGCACCTATACTCTCCACCTCATCCATCAGTAAGGGCTTAATTATTTGCGTATATTTAAATCCTTTATTACTACGTAATCGCCCCTGAGAATCGCAGTCGCGTCTTACTACGTTCGTAGCCAATAAAATCTGTCTATAGTTCTTTCTGTCTTCATTAGTAATTAGTTTTTCATCGGGTACATTCATAATTATGAGGTCATATAGACCCGCAGTACCTTTGTACTGGACACCATTAATAAGCAAATCACTTCCTTTTATCGTTACAGGAGTGTTACCAATTGTCCACTTATCAGTTTCCACGTCATAGTGTATACCAAAAGTCGTATCAATTGCTTTATTGGTATCTCGCATCATACGCTCAACGTATATGCGCGGTAGAGGCTCGTATTGTTCCAAAAATTCTTTTGAACTTGCCGATTCATCAAGCACCATTGCGGAGGATGTAGAATGTGATGAGATCTCTTCGTTTTCATCTTCAGGCTGTACCTCTCCTATCACAGTGCTCTGAAGGAATGATGGAGTTCGTGGAGTTGCCAATTTAGATCGAGAAGTAGCTTGAATATACCGAAGTCTGGCCAGTGGACTGATATCGCTTAAAAGAGGCGGAGGATGCTTCTGAAAATACGGTAGTCTAGCGAGCGGACTAATATCGCTAAGAGACGATGGTCTACTCCGACCTATACGTGAGGAATAGGATGTTAAAGGCGTACGCTGTGGCGATTTACTTCTTGAAGATTGATATCGTTTCGGAGACGATTTTGTGAACACTTCATCTTCCTCGTCCTCCTTCTCCTCTTTCCCCGCCACTTTCTCTGTTGATGGTTCGATTTTCTTAGCGATTCGTGAAAGTGGTTTGATCAGCGGTTGATAGGTTTGCACAAACTTCTGTTCTTTACTAAAGCGATCCGCTTTAAGATGATTATACTTTTGTTGTATCGCTTTACGAGCTTGAATTATTCTTCTTTTCAATGTCATCTCCATGTTGTCCATCGTTTAGCGTGGGTGGTTATAGGACCACGTATGGAAACCACTTGTTTAGGTTAGGTTTTGCTTTGGGATGTGATTCGTTTGGCGTTCACGTTTGGGTTTGAATCGCGTTCAGGTTTGGGTTCGATTCGCGTTCAGGTTGGGTTCGTTCACGTTTCTGCAGGAGTCTACAAAATGCTGTACTGATGGCTGCGATGGTTTGCACTTCACGATACGTTTTTAAATAGATTGAAGTAAGAGAGTTATGGTATTATATACTGATCGAATCCCTTTCGAAAACGTCCATTCTAGAGACTTGCATCCTTGTTTATGACTAAGAAACCGAACTTATTTCTCCAACATTCTAAGCATATTTCGCGAAAAAGTTGAATAGTTATCGTAGGACTCACGTGATCATCATATATATGTTTTAAATTTAATTCATCTTGTTCAAACACTGTAATCAAATTTGCATTGTCTCTGATTAATTGTTTGGGTATCTTGCTATAAGTTTGACTCAAATAAAAACAATCGATTGCATTATGTCTACCCATAGAAAAATATGCCCTAATGTTATCCTGCTTTTCACAAGCGATGCCATCAAATATAAAAATTGAATTCGGTCGTGCAGCGTTAGGTTCCATAATAAGTTCATTGTCCGTGAAAGTAAAATACCCTATTTTATGCATAGGCTGTAGGATATTCTTCAAAAGTTTGTATTTACTCTGATCCAGTGATTTCGAGTATATGTAGACGTTCTTGAACCTTAATCCGTTTTCTTCCGTTAATAAACTGAGCATAATATTAGTTTTACCGCAATTTGAGGGCCCGCATATTATACCACGTACTGTATCTAGAAGTAGTTCTCCATGCTTACTCACAGCACTTTGGCATTTAACGAGGTCATCATGATTCTTTATAGGTAGTTTACTACTTTGAGGAATTACTTTCATCGTTAACTTCCTCACGTCTATCGCTTATAAAGGATAGAATAAAACTAATGTCTTCTCATAAAATATACTATATTTAAATAAATAATAATAATAACAATAAGAAATATAATAATAACAATAGTATTCATAATAAGTCTCTTATAGCTTGTTCACCTCACCCGTAAGAGGATTGTATTGAATAAGTGCGTCGTGTAGAATAAGACAATACGCTACTATTCCGGCATCAAATGAACTCCGCGATTCGATTTCTAACTTGATGTCTACAGTTGAGTTCTTAAGCGTTTCGTTCTGCTTAGAGCAGTCAATCACAAAAATTGGACACTTTTTGAATTGTGAATAATCGAATAGGGCATCTTGTTCATCTTTAGCGTAGTAATTCTGGCGAAAGGCTAAGAATTGGTGATATGCCGCAATATATTTATTTTCGTTAAAGTCCAGGTGCATTGCTTCATATGGGTAACTTTCAGAGTTTAAATGTAGCTTTATGTTTCTGATGTTTACGTTATCAAAATTTGCCGCTTTCTCAGACTTCGCAAATTTTTTGTTCTTCTGAAATGCAACAATTACCCATCGAGGTTTTTCTAGTTGTGTTGAAGTTTTGATTGGCCATATATCCATCGGTGCTTGCTTAAGTGCTGGAAGTTCATACAGCTCCCATTGTCGAAAAGGTATACTAATCGCGACATTCTTGTTAATCCGTTCGAATAGATTAAGTTTTGCCGAATCGCCGAGTGTGAGATGAGGAACTTTCCAATGGATTTTGCTTAACTTTCTTGTTGCATCTGCTTCGGAATGATAGCAATCGGCATCGCTTCTTGATCGAATCAGAATTAACTCCTGTTTCATGTTTACAATAACTTGATGATAATCTTCCATCATCCCAAAGATATGTTTAAGCGGTATACATACCGAAAAGTATTTCGATACGTTATCATCGGTTTTTGTGTATTCAACTTGCAAAGGTTCATCATCATCTTTTGGTGACCACCCCAAATGGGTCAATGCCTTACTCTCCGCAGTTGTGTACGAAACGTACCCTTTCAATGCTGATGTAATTCCAGGATTTCTGCAAACATCAACTCTTTGACCACCCAGTTCATAACGAATCTCCTCAAACAAAAAACTTGCAAAATTGTTTGTTAGATGACATTGTTTCAGATGATCTTCCGGTTTCCGTTCTATTTTTCCCTCGATATAGAGGAAACTATCATACGTTGCAGTTATTAGATCTTGACTTTGAATTAAAATACGAATCTCCTCAGACAGTCCGTAGTTAGATGAACTATATGGAAGGTACGTATGGATATCCCATTTGGTAATAGCTTCGTCAAAATGTACGTCTTGGAAAATATTTAACGTTTCGGCCATTTTTCACTTTTTTTTTCTTAAACACTTTTAAACCGATTGATCGCAAAAATTGTTTTTCGAAGGAATTTAATTCCCCTCCTTGTTTCGTATGCGACGAGTACCGACCTCGAATAAGCATGGAATTGATATTGTTGGCTCTTTTATATGCATCCTCAAAGGGTGGTACAGAACGGGTTCGATTAATTCTTAAACCCATATTCTTTTAATTCCAATCTCACTGTGAAAGATTCCGTTGAGCCAAAGTCAATTGCTTCACCCTTTTGGTTAGTCAATTTTATAGTTATGTTGCTAATAGAGTTTGTGTTCACTTCCAAATATTGTGTACTACTTGGTGTTTTATCAAGTCGAAATCCTGGGGGAACGGAAACGTCAATCTCGTACAAAACCTTGGCTTGTTGTCCGTTGCGGTAGGAACCCTTTACAATTGTGGCGACCATGACAATATAGGTGGTTGTCTAGGTAAAAAAAAAATAAAAATTAATAATTGACATTCTGTTATATTTCAAATCGCTAATAGTTCTTTTCCTGTATTTTGTTAAAAAACGCTAACACTCCACGTGTATGTTAGTATGCTTGATTATTTGAATATCCAAAGAA